TTTGCCTGTGTCTTATCTACCATTGCTACAGTGTATGTACACTGAGAGATTACCTTAAAACATTACTGAAGTGTTTAAGTATCTTCGAGTGTGATATTAACGTGAAATGCAGCCTTAATGGCCCTCTTGCAATCGAAGGCACTTTAAAACGCCTCCGCTAGTTTTAATGTTCCGATAAACGTGCAGGAGAAATCAGTGTAACAGTGAGTTATTAAACGTGATGGTTCACCAGCACGAATATTCCTTCAGTATAGTTCTCCAACACGGGTACTCCTTCACTATAGTTCTCCATTAGGTCAACTCTCTTTCGAAAAGTTTCCCTATACGGGGTACTCCTTCGTATAGTTCTCCAAACGTTAGTTCCCTTTCAACTATATTCTCCAGTAGGGTACATTCTCCTTCCAGGTATAGATTTCTCTTCACAATCACGTCTGCTACTTCTTCCACTATAAGTTTTCCAAACGGGTAGTTCCTAAATTTTGTGTGTCTTATCTTACCATTGTACAGTGTATTACACTGAGGATTACTCTTAAAACATTATGAAGTTTTAGTATCTTGGTGTATTACGTAATGCAGCTATAGGCCTCTTGCAATCGAAGGCACTTTAAACGCCTCACTATTTAAGTTCCAGTAAACGTGCAGAAAATCAGTGTACATGAGTTATTAAAGTGATGGTTCACCAGCACGAATATTCCTTCAGTATAGTTCTCCAACACGGGTACTCCTTCACTATAGTTCTCCAGTAGGGGTACTCCTTCAGTATAGTTCTCCAGTACGGGTACTCCTTCACTATAGTTCTCCAGTATGGGTACTCCTTCAGTATAGTTCTCCAGTATGGGTACTCCTTCAGTATAGTTCTCCAGTACGGGTACTCCTTCACTATAGTTCTCCAGTACGGGTACTCCTTCACTATAGTTCTCCAGTATGGGTACTCCTTCAGTATAGTTCTCCAATACGGGTACTCCTTCACTATAGTTCTCCAGTACGGGTACTCCTTCACTATAGTTCTCCAGTACGGGTACTCCTTCAGTATAGTTCTCCAACACGGGTACTCCTTCAGTATAGTTCTCCAACACGGGTACTCCTTCAGTATAGTTCTCCAACACGGGTACTCCTTCAGTAACTCACCGAGAGGATCGTCATGCACAACCAGCGTATCTTACTCTTAAATAAAACACTAGTAACTCCTTCCTTGGATCAAGTCTCATTACTTCCCATTCCACAGGTGCCGTTACGGGTTTACCGGTGCATCACGAATATAAAGTTAATAATTTTAGTTTTTATGACTATCACTGGGACGAGAATTTAGCGTAGATATAAATCTAGGTTGAACGACCATGTAAATGGGTGAGGTTAGGTGCGAGTTAGACTTGTCTGGCATGGTCCAATAGGCCTACTGCAGTTTCTTCATTCTTACGTTCTTACACTTTTTTAAAATTGCATGCAGTTTTTTTTACAAATAAGTTATGGGCATATTGTCCAAGATAACAGTCTGGCACTGGGTGGCAGACACCTAGCATGTGAGGTGCAGCAAAGTGGCACTGGGTGAGACACCTAGCATGTGAGGCGCAGTAAAGTGGCACTGGGTGGCAGACACCTAGCATGTGAGGTGCAGCAAAGTGGCACTGGGTGGCAGACACCTAGAATGTGAGGCGCAGCAAAGTGGCACTGGGTGGCGGACACCTAGCATGTGAGGTGCAGTAAAGTGGCACTGGGTGGCGGACACCTAGCATGTGAGGTGCAGCAAAGTGGCACTGGGTGGCAGACACCTAGCATGTGAGGTGCAGCAAAGTGGCACTGGGTGGCAGACACCTAGCATGTGAGGTGCAGCAAAGTGGCACTGGGTGGCAGACACCTAGCATGTGAGGTCAGCAAAGTGGCACTGGGTGGCAGACACCTAGCATGTAGAGTGCAGCAAAGTGGCACTGGGTAGGCAGAACCTTCATGTGAGGTGCAGCAAAGTGGCACTGGGTGGCGGACACCTAGCATGTGAGGTGCAGCAAAGTGGCACTGGGTGGCAGACACCTAGCATGTAGTGCAGAAGTGCATGGGTGGCAGACACTAGCATGTGAGGTCAGCAAGTGCACTGGGTGGCAGACACCTAGCATGTGAGGTGCAGCAAAGTGGCACTGGGTGGCAGACACCTAGCATGTGAGGTGCAGCAAAGTGGCACTGGGTGGCGGACACCTAGCATGTGAGGTGCAGCAAAGTGGCACTGGGTGGCAGACAACAAGCATGTGAAGTGCAGCAAAGTGGCACTGGGTAGCAGACACCTATCATGTGAGGTGCAGCAAAGTGGCACTGGGTGGCAGACACCTAGCATGTGAGGTGCAGCAAAGTGGCATTGGGTAGCAGACACCTATCATGTGAGGTGCAGCAAAGTGGCACTGGGTGGCAGACACCTAGAATGTGAGGGCAGCAAAGTGGCACTGGGTGGCGGACACCTAGAATGTGAGGTGCAGTAAAGTGGCACTGGGTGGCGGACACCTATCATGTGAGGTGCAGCAAAGTGGCACTGGGTGGCAGACACCTAGCATGTGAGGTGCAGCAAAGTGGCACTGGGTGGCAGACACCTAGCATGTGAGGTGCAGCAAAGTGGCACTGGGTGGCAGACACCTAGCATGTGAGGTGCAGCAAAGTGGCACTGGGTGGCAGACACCTAGCATGTGAGGTGCAGCAAGTGGCACGGGTGGCAGACACCTAGCATGTGGTGCAGCAAGTGGCATGGGTGACAGACACTAGATGGAGGTGCAGCAAAGTGGCATGGGTGGCAGACACCTAGCATGTGATGCAGCAAAGTTTCCTGGTGGCAAGACACTACATGTGGATGCAAATTAGTGGCACTGGGTGGGACACCAGATGGAGGTGCAGCATAAGTGTCACTGTGTTGGCAGAACCTAGCATGTGAGGTTATCAAGTGCCTTGTGGCAGACACTAGCATGTGAGGTGCAGTCAAGTGCACTGGGTTGGCAGACACCTATGTGGTTGCATCAAATTGCCTGGTGCATGACCTAGCAGTTGAGGTTGCACAAATGGCACTTGTGTGCAGCACTAGATGTGAGGTGCAGAATATGGCACTGGGTGCATGAACCTAGCAGTGGGTTGCAGCAAGTGGCCTGGTGGCATGACACTAGACTGTGAGGTGCGAAAGTGCACGGTGGCATGCACTAGAGTTGTAGTTACGAGTGCACTGGGTGGCAGAACCTAGACTTTGTGGAGTGCATCCAGTGGCTATGTGTGCAGAACTATGTGAGTTGCAGCAAGTGGTGTTTGTGCAGAACCTAGCTGTAGGTCAGCAAGTGCACTTGGATGGCGAGACCTTGCATGTGAGGTGCAGCAATGGCTGGGTGCAGACAAGCAGTGAGTGCAGCAAGATGCCTGGTAGCAACACTATATTGAGGTGACAAGTGGATGGGGGAACACTAGCAGTGAGGTCAGCAGTGGATGGTACGGACACTATCATGTGATAGTTGCATCAATGTGCACTGGTGCATACTCAGAATGTGAGTGCGCAGCAAGTGGCACGATGGCGGACACCGTAGATTTGAGAAGCACCGTACTATCAGTCATGCGGACGGGTGGCGACAACTTTTTCATGTGAGGTGCTAGCAAAGTGGCACTTGTATGGCAGACACTACATGTTGAGGGCCAGCAAAGTGGCATGGGTGGCAGACACCAGCATAGGGCAGCAAAGTTTTACTGGTGAGACACTAGATGTAGGTTGCAGCAAGTGCATGGGTGCAGACCTACAATGTAGTGCAGACAAAGTCATGGTACCAGAACTAAGTCATGGGTGCAATGCATCACACGGCTCTGCTCGAGACACCTAATTAGTGCAGAAAGCTTCACTTCAAACTCTTATACAAAGTTTTTGGCGACTCTACTTGGTTTGCAGCGTGGACTGGGTCAGAACAAGCATGTGAGTGCTACTGCAAAGTGCATGGGTGGCAGACACTTCTTGTAGGTGGCAAGCCAAGTGGCCTGGGTGCAAGACACTAGCATGTTGAGGTGCAGCAAAGTGGCACTGGGTGGCAGACACTACATGAGTTTGCAGCAAAATTTAAGTTCGAAGTATAATTAATTAATCTTTGTTTTACAAAACGGTATTTGCAGTTTATCATCCTTGTGTCATGACTAACGTTGTAGTTTATCATCTTGTGTCATGACTAACGTTTTGGTTTATCATCCTTGTGTCATGACTAGACGTTTGTAGTTTATCATCCTTGTGTCATGACTAGACGTTTGTAGTTTATCATCCTTGTGTCATGACTAGACGTTTGTGGTTTATCATCCTTGTGTCATGACTAGACGTTTGTGGTTTATCATCCTTGTGTCATGACTAGACGTTTGTAGTTTATCATCCTTGTGTCATGACTAGACGTTTGTGGTTTATCATCCTTGTGTATTGATGAGGTATTTGTAGCCTATCATCCTTGTGTTTTATCACGAACCTAGGTTATACATCGAAGTCATTTTCCTTGTACATCGACGTCCTTTTTCCTTGTACTTGGAGAGAGATGGTATAGTCTACGATGCCTGGATGCATCACTAATGGTTACAGTGTAACTTCATCGTCACTTCCTACGGATCTTCGTATATATTAGCTTCATCTTCCTGCCATATCTCAGATTTCCCTGCACGTCAAGACATCCCCGTAGTTTAAAGCTCCTTCTTTCAGCTCTTCGGAAGCTCTAATCATTTTTTTCATTATCTAGCGATGATCTGCTCCTTTTATCGAGTACACATGTTGCCAATATGGCCGCCCATCATGACGGGCGTATCAACACAACAGGCAGTAAGATTTTTTGTAACGTTCTTATTATTCCCATGTATTATGTATTGTACTCTCACAATTTATCATACACTTCAATGAACTCACAAATATATTCTCGGTCAAATGCTCTCACACGCTCTCTCTGATGTACTCCTGAATATTCCGTCATGAACATCCTTCTACTTCCAATACTCTTATACAGTTTTATGCTCTCTCTTGTTTTCAGGTGATGAGTCAGAACAAGCCATCTCCATCTTACTCAACAACCAGGAGTCTGAGATTGTCTTCGTTAACGTGGAAACTCCTCAAGACTTCCAGGTAAGTACATGGAACAGCTTAAAACCCTGAATGTGTGACTCGGCAATCGTATCCCGACTCCATAAATTATATACCGTTTCAGTTATTTCAGTGGACATCAAAGTTTCCCGCACACGCTGACAAATGTATAATTCATTAACCCGGTGTGTGTGTGGGGAAGGGGGAACCCTTTGTTGTTGTAGGGGCTGAGTCTCAGCTCCTGGCCCTGCCTCCTAAACTGGTCGCTACTGGATTCACTCTCTCTTGGCTTCCCGAACCTTATCAGATACTTTAAAAGTTGTGCATAAATCCTTTCTTTACCACTTTGTTGTCCAGATCATTTGCGCTTTATAATTTCCAAAGATGCCCCATGTATGTTTCCTGCTAATTGAACAGTCTACCCTATCAATTCCTCTCAGTATTTTTTATGTCCTTATCTTCCGCGTTTTCTTTCTGCTTTCTGATGTTATCAAGGTTATAAGTCAGAGCTTTACCGTAAGACAGACTTATAGTGGAATGTATAGCAGTCTTAACTCTTGTTGATTCCCGGTATTCCCCACGGCGGGTCTCTTTTCCAAGGGTGCCGGCCTTGGTTCCTGTACGGAGTTTCTGAGACTATCATCCATGTGGATGGTAGGTATAATGTACCCCTTGTTGTTGCGACCAATGTCCCCGGCCTAACCAGAGGCCTTTGTCCATCCGCCAGTGGGGCTAAGTAATCCGTCTCGTGAGATATTCTGAGACCTACCCTACCTAGACCGGCATGGTGTCGAGGTCATAGTTTTTCCTTTAAGATTGTGGAAACTTCCCGGCGGGCCTTATCCCAAGTGGTGGCCGGCTTGGCTCCCTGCTCGGGGTCTGAGCCTATCCATGGAGGATGACAGTACCCCTTCGTGGGACCAACTGTCCCCTAGGCTACCCAGTACACCTGGTCATCCCGACCCAAGGGGCTATGGGCTAATGAGTTGGTCGTACTCTGGTGCTTAGTTAGCTTTTTTTTTTTAAAGATTTGCTGGTATTCTCCCGGCCCGGGCCTTTTCCAAGTGGTGGCCCGACCTTGGCTCCCTGTCTAGGGAGTGTCTGAGACCTAAGTCTCCCATGGGAGGAGGTACAAGTACCTCCTCATCTTTGGGACCTATAACTATTTCTAAGTATTATTTTAATTTATTTTATCATAATCATTTGAAACCGCCACGATTCTATGTAAACTATCCAGATTGGTTCAGTAATTTTAAATATATTTCATAATAACTTTACTTGCGAAATACAAAGTTGAAGTTAACGTATGTTTTCGTTTAGATATAATTATAGTATTTTCCAGTGTTGAATATAGTCCAGTAATGATGTATATCTACCGTAGAAGTATGAACAAGAGTCAAAGGGAGAGGAAGAGCATCGACACTATGACCAGCTCTTCTTGGGCAGGGTAGGTGCCTGTGCCAGAGCTTGCAGCTCACAACACTCTCATTCCCATTAGCCCCCTTGGGGCGTGGATGGCAGACCAGAGGCGCCTAGCTTTTCCCTACGAGCCCCGTGAGGGCGAGGAATGTGGCTAGGCCTGGAGACAATTGGTCCCAACGATGAGGGGTACTTGTGCCTCCTCCCATGTTAGACTTAGGTCTCAGATACTCCCTAAAGAGGGAGCCAAGGCCGGGCCACCACTTGGAAAAAGCCCGGGCCGTGAGAATACCGGCGAATCAACAAGTATGAGTCAAAGGGAGAGGAAGGAGGGATGAGGCACATATATTCTTAAATATATTCCACAGTATTTTTTTTCCCTTGGGAGAACGCTAAACCCTTAGGGTAATGTGTGGAAATTGGGTCAGACACTCTTTGCTTCTATTGGTTAGCCATGCCTCAATCCATGCTAGAACTTTACCTCCTATACCATGAGCTGCCACTTAGATGAAGATCCCTTCGCCAACATTAAAGTACTTACTTCCCTTCTTTGATCTACACAGTGTAGTACATCAAAAAATGAAGCTAAAAGTGTTAATCCCGTACTGGAGTGAAATTATCTATCCAACAGAACTTGTGAAATTCATTCATGTTCTATGTAAATTTACTGTCAATTTATATTTTGTCTGCTGTATATTTCCTGAGCTTCATCCCCAGTGTGTATCTGTGATGTAATGGAGGTGGTATTTTGTTTATTACGTAGTAGTACGATTTCTCGTAGGGATTTTGCCAGGTAATGATTTTCAGTGTTAAGTATTCTCTGGCTCACCTTTTGACCTTATAGTAACCCCCTAAAATACGTTAATAAATGACATTTATTCATGAGCATTCTTTGACAGGATGAGGTGAACAGAGAAGTTCCCCCTGAAGGTTGGCTGGTTATGTATAGCATCACAGACAAGGCGTCCTTCCAGCGAGCCGGGGAGGAGCTAGCCAGCCTCCACCAACACCAGCTCTTGCGAGGTCGGGCAGTCATACTAGTGGCTAACAAATGTGAACTAGTGCGCTCCAGGACTGTCAATGTGGATGGTATGTCCTTGCATGCTTGGTATATAAGCTTTAATAGGCTATCGACTGTGCATTCGTTATTAAGGGTGCAAGCGTGTTTACCAAAAGTCATGAACATTTTAATTTCTGTGTATGCATACAGAGATATACACATTGTGATGTGACAGTAATTAACATGCGAATACCGACAAGTTATAGTTGATTAAGACAATCTGTAGATGGGGACGTTAAGAAACGTTTCGCCTGCACAGCAGGCCTGATACTCTGTACACAATCAGATATACATTTCTTAGTGTATACACAGCAAAAGACATACACATATACATCTCTCTCTCTCTTTTATATATATATACATATATATATATATATATATATATATATATATATATATTATATATATATATATATAATAGTTCCTTGATAATGTGAGTAGTCACGAAAGCACTTGGAATTTCTCTATTCTTTCAGAGTGGTTGTTTTGCATAATATATATATATATATATATATATATATATATATATATATATATATATATATATATATATATATATATATATATTAATGTACAAAAATACAATAGGGGTAGAACAACATAGATAACATCTCCGAGCTATATCTCGAATACTTCGTTCAGTTCCATGGCGGTGGACCGCATGCCCAGAATGCTACAGGCATTTTCACTCTGGATCGCAACACTAAGTCTCTGAAAGAGGAAGCTGGCCGCTCTGTGATCCTTGGTTTCTGTGATGAGTTTTTCACCCAACTCTTTGAGGAACTTTAGAGCACACTTGCCCCATGCTCCAAGGGTCTCCGACCCTACTGGGATAAAGTTATAACAAGAGGGAAGGTCTTCATATTTGCGGGTCTCCCTGCAGCTGGCAGCCCCACCTCCTTTAGCTTCAGAGTATGGCAAGTAGGTGTCTGCCAATGTGGCGGCACAGGTATAGTCACAGGCAAGCTGCTTACCATCCTTCCAGGGTAGCATAGTGGCTCCATCAGAGCGCTTTTGACTTCCATCAGACCTCTGTACATGGAGTTCCCTTTCAGCTGGACAACGGGCTGTGGCGAGGCTTCTCTTTATGATGTCGTGGGCCTCCTCATGTCTAGGATACTTCCCTTCTGATGTGTGTGTGTGTGTGTATATATATATATATATATATATATATATATATATATATATATATATATATATATATATATATATATATATATGCAGAACAAGCCACACGGGGATGTAAACCTCTAGCACAAGATCTTTCACACTTTCATGCGTCGTCAGAAGCTATGCAATGTTGCAAGAAAGGAACATGTAGAAGAGGAAATTCGCTGAGGCAAGGCAGAAGGTATCAGTGGCAACCCTTATCCCAGTGTGTATATTCCTTTGATACAGCCCTTATAACCTAAAGAGATGAATGTAATCATTTGACGATGCGCCTAAACGGAAAACCATAAAAATTATTCAAATTTCTTTTGTGCCCATATTTCATTATACACAAAAACTAACCTAGGACCACCGTGTCACGTCGTTAAAAATTTATATACTATAAAAGAGCTTAATTTACCTAGCATTTAAAAATTCGAATAATTCTTTTTGTTTTCGAATCATCAGATAACCAGATAAATATATGTTTAGTGTCCTCTTCTCTCTCTCTCTCTCTGTATCTCTTCCTGTATCTATATGTGTCTATGCCATTTCTCACTATTTTCTCTTGATTTTAATCGCCATTCTCGCTGCTGTATCGTCTGTGACCTCACCCACTCTCCTCCTGCAGATGGGCGGGACCTGGCCTGCAGCTACGGTGCTAAGTTTATGGAGATTAGCGTTGGAATGAACCACAAATGCGACGATCTTCTAGTGGGAATCTTGAACCAGCTCCGCATCAAGGGTGAGGAACCCAGCGAGGAAGAAGAGGCTCCCAAGGAGAGAAGTTGGACGAGGTGAGACTTTACAAGAAATGTTTTAGTTATCCATCGGATTTTTGTTTGTGTGGTGCTATGGGTAGCTATTGTAATTTCAAAATAATGGGGGAAAAAATAAGTAATTTTGGGGCCAAGTAAAATTTACAGGAGTAACTTTTTTGTTGTTTTAATTACGCATCCATCATTGAAGTGAGATTTCCTTTAAAATAGTAATGTGATATAACATACACTGGATTCCTTTTGACTCAAAGCTCAGTGGTAAAACACTACTCACAAACTACACCTACTGCCCCTGTTTTCCAAGCAGTATATATAATAATATGTCTTTTAGGCGACTGTCGTGGGTCGCATCTTAAGGAAGAATCGAAAAGCCCTGGGGAAAGATTAAACATCCCAGAATAACTCAAGAAAGCCAAGCAATGTGACTTAATTCTATTTCTGTTCTCTGGTCCACTTCCTAATTAATAATTTACATATTTTAGCTAAAAAGTGATGTCACAAAATGATGTGAACCGCTTTGAATTATTATAATTTGCAATAAAA